AGACACTCTGTATAATAACAAACCACTTAAAACTAAAAATTGGTCAAAAATTGTTTTTACTAATTTTTTGAAACAATGAGAAAATATGCTACCATACTAAATTATAATTAAAATAAACCTATAGATTGTACTTTAAATAGTGGCTTAAATTTGCATCTAAATTGCACATGTGACCGAGTATCGAATACATCCGACGAAATATCAAAAGGACCTGTCTAGGTTGTAGTTAGACAAAGAGACTTGGATAATGTGCCACGGTTATCGCCTGGATGGGTTCCGAAAGCCGCTCGCTTTTCATGTTTAATGCAATGCGCTGGGCGCGCGCTCTCAACTAAAAGATTCTAAAATTGTAATTACACAACTATATTAAAATTTAGTACTTCCGCCAAATTTGTTTTAAAACTTTTATTGTATAGAAATCCTTCGTTTTAGGTTTTGTGCTATATTCAGAAGCTTTGTTTCGCCCACACAAAAATAATCAAAGACAGTATGTTTATTATTGAATAGGTTTACATTTACAAGTTTCGATTAAAATTATTTGCAACTATTATTATACTCGTAGTAGCTGAAGTGTGCCCACTTCTCAGTGCATACAAATTTGGAACCATATATTTCTTTATAAATCTTGCAATGTTGATGTGCAGTGTGAGCCTTTAAATTATTTGGAATAAGCTCCTTCTAAAAAGCACAAGTACGTCTGACCATTTAGATTATGATTGAATATTTGATTTTGGACATTTGGTTTGGTAACGTGCAAATTCATGCAAAGAACCTGTAAAAAATACCTGTGCAAAGTCCAGAGACTGGCATGCGTTTGCATCACAGGAGCCATGAGAACATGTCCAACAGAAGAGTAGGTAGAATGTAGGTCATTCTAGATCTAACACCACTGCACATTGCCATCGGTAGATATGCCAATGTAACAATGATTAGAATGGTCACTAACGGAATCAGTACTAGGAGAATTGTCAGATCAGGTGCTTGGAACACCCTCAAAAAAGAAATACCACTCCTGCAACTCTCAGTGGATGATATGCCAAGAATGTACAACTTTGAGAAACACCTCAATGTAGTATTGAGTAAAAATAATTGGAAGCGAGAAACGTTTGCTCAGCAGTTAAAAACCATACCATAACTTGGTATACTGATTCTTCCAAAACCAATGCGGGAACAGGAATCAGAGTATTTGGGTCGAGAACTAAATACTCCGAACCCCAATGGGCACCTACCCTAGCATACAGGCAGAAACCTACCTACCTACCTACAGGCAGAAATCTAAGCTATCGAAAGATGCGTACAACTTATCTTAGATAGGAACTATCGGATACAAGCAATATCAAAAGCCCAAAATAAAATAAAGCTTGCCCGATTGCAACGGGTTGCAGCAATCAGGACATGTTGCGCGTATAGGACTATCTCGGGAGATGCAGCCTTGGTTATAGCAGGTATTCCCCCGATACACCTAGTGCTGCGAGAAAGACATGAAACATATATGGGCCTTCATAAACAGGAGGCACGAGAAAACTTACTAAATGCATGCAGCTGGAATGGGAGAGCTCCAGTACTGGTAGATGGACCTACAGGATAATCCGGGACTTAAAACAATGGATTAATAGGTCGTATGGGGAAGTTGACTATTTTATGACCCAGGCCCTCTCCGGTTATGATTGCTTTAACAAATACCTCTATAAACGTGCTCGATCACAAACTGAGAGATGCTCATATTGCACAATGGAGGAGGATGTTGAGCATACTCTGTTCAACTGCCCAAGCTGGGTCAATGAGAGGAAATATTTTGAGGTGCAGATTGCACAAGTATTCACTGTGGAGAGCATGTATGCTGGACTGGTTGGCGGTAAAAAACTCTGGACCGCGACACATGCCACGGTTAAGAAAACACTGAAGCAAGAGGAAGAACAACGCAAATAAGCGAGGGCAGCCCTCATGCTGAAGTAATGCGAGAGCGGTTTCCAGCATGAGTGGTGTTAGACACGGGGTGGTTTTTTAGTCGGAAGAGTCCCACACTTCGTCTATAAAAGATCTTTCCACCTCGCTAAAAAAAAAGGAACTATCGGAAACAAGAAATAGCCATCTTATCTGATAGTCAGGCAGCGTTAAAAGCGATCAACTCAGTATCAATTATTTCGATGTTGGTCAAAAAATGCATAGAAAAGCTGAGTAAATTAGGCAAGGAAAACAAAGTCCTTCTACTCTGGATGCCTGCTCACCAAGGAATAGAAGGCAATGAAAAAGCAAATGATCTAGCTAGTAAAGGAGCGAACACTCCACTAACTGGACCAGAACTATTCTGCTTTCCAAGTGGTAACCAACTAAAAGCGGAACTCAAGAACTTGGAAGACTACACCCGTAACCTGAAATGGGAATCTTGCAAAGGTCTAAAACACTCCAAGATGTTTCTGAGGGCTTACGACCAAGAAAAATCAAATATCTTCCTGGATTTAAGTAAGAACAATCTTCGGATTGTCAAGGGGTTTGTAACAGGACACTGTCTCCTCACTAAACACCTCAGTAGATTGAAACTAAGAAATAACGGCAAATGCAGATTCTGTGGGGAAAATGGGGAAACACCAGAACACCTCATCAGTGAGTGCGCCGAGACGACAACCATTCATGCCATGAACTTTGATACGACTGATATTGGAGATGGAGAAATAAATACTGCAGATTTGTTTGTTACTTTTTTGTAATTTCTTTTAATTTTATAGATATTTTTTATAGAACTAAATTTTTAAATATTTACCTATATATTTGTAAAAATGTATTTTTTATGATTTACGGTTATTGAACTACATAATTTAACTGGAATTACTTTATATTATACATCTTTCAGTAAAAACAATATTGATATGCGTTCTTTTCCCATGCTATATGATATCAATCAAATTAACATAACAACAATCAAACTTATATTTTGAAGTTTCAATATCGTCGTTTGGCATTTTATATGGAGGCCACAGAAAGTTTTTTATTATTTTTCGAAAAATGTTAAAAAGCCATAGTTCTCTTCAAAAGCTGTTCTTAGTGAGCGTCTATGTCCCGTTAAGGAGTAACTATACTAATTTTCAGCTCAATCTGCCGTGTAGTTTTGGAGATATCGTGATGAGTGATTGAGTGCCAAATCGCTTTTATATATACAGGGGGAGTCTTAAATAAGTGCATATATTTTCAGGGCTTTTCAGACTATTTTTCAAATAAATCCAAAATAATCGAGTTATTTTACTTTGAAAATTTTCAAAAAAATGATTTTTTCCTAAAATTTTGAAAACCACTGTAACTTTTCTAGATTTTCTTTCTTGTAAATTTAATCTACTACCGATGTTGCCATATTATCAACAAATTATGTTTTTTAACTAAAAACTAAAAAAATTCCAAATTTACCAAAAAAATTTCGCGAAAAAAACCTCGATTCTGGGGTCGAAATATACTACACCTAAACATAATAATTGAACTTATTTAAGACTCATCCTGTTTAGATTAAACTTTATAAATTCTGAAAAATTTGGCTTCTGGCATCTAGACTCCGGCGTTTAAAAACGATTCTACCGCGTTTTTAAGACATTTAACCGGTAAATCGATAAACCAGTGATGCAATCCCTACCTCCAAATTCCCTGTCAAAATTATTAACGTTTAACAGTAACGAAATTATACCGAAGCGTATTGTGCAAGTGTGAAAAATATGCTATATTAACAGGCAATTTTGTTCGGCAAGGCTAGAAGCAAATAGGACAGCACTTTGCTTATTAGTTGAAGGTATTCGAGATTGATATCAAAATAGATTATAAACTTGGAAGGGTTTAAATTGCGCCGCGCCATCGTCGACAGAGTCCGGGGGCCGTTTTGCTTCCAACTTTCCACTCTAATTAGCTGACAGTTAAGTTCATCAACAAACCAATATTTTCGCCCAGATTGTTTTAATGATGGAAATTTTTACCGTTTAAAACGTTCTAGATTATTATATTATATAGCAATAGCACAAAAATTTAAAACAATTTTAAGTAATACCTAAAATTTTTAAATTATTTTTAAAAAATTGGCGCCAGGAGGCACGTATAGCCGCCAATACTAATATATGTTAATAAAAAGTTGGTAGGCAGTTATTTTAGTTTCAAAGTAAAGGAATTTTTCCAGTTTTTTTAAACAATATTTCATATTTTTTTTTATCTGAAAAACTGCGACTGACTGATTTTGATGTTATTACAAATTTTGTTGCAAATATTATTCCGAATTTTAAATTGAAAACAGCGTTTCGCTGGCTACTGTAATTTTGGAGTTACGATTTTTTAAAATTTTTAACCCCCTCCCATACCCCCTTACCAACCCCCCACCCCCACCAAAAACTAATGGCCAGATTCTCGGGTGCCACAGTATTTTTGTGCCGAATTTGGTTAAAATCGGTTTAGCGGTTTTTGAGTTATCGTGGTACAGAATACAGACAGACGGACAGACGGACAGATGAAAAGTTATTACTTTTCAAACCAGTTAAAAAATATGTAGATGGCGCCCTCTACAAGTAGGAGTCATATTAACATCAAAATCAAATTTCTCATGTCAAAAATCTCCCAGACACCAATTTTCATCCAAATATTGACGTTTTGACAGAAATTATTTGGAAAAAATCGAAATAAACATGAAACTTCTACACCCTGTATGTCCGAAAGTAAGCATTTTAGAACATACATTTAAACGAATTTTTTTACTGGTTTTTATGAATATGCAGAATATGGAATTATAATTTATATATAATAATATTTCCTGAATACAGTCCAGACCACCCTGTATATAAAACCTCACATAAAACTGATATTTTATTTTTCTTTTTTTTTTGAATGATAAAATTTTCACGATATTACCCATTGTAAACCAGCCACAAGGGTATTAAACATTATTATTAATACAATTTTCTTTTACCATTTATCTATATTAAACCATGACTACTTAGTCTGTGTAGAAGTTTATTTAAATTAAAAATATTTTCCAGTTCCAATAATTCCGGAGTTCTTGTATGACATCAATCATCCCGAAGCTCCTTTGGATGGAGTGCCGCGAATAACAACAACTACTGCTGCGCCAACTAAAGAACCACCTTGCGAGAAGTATATCAGGTTATTAAGTAAACAAGATCCTGAATTTAATGCATCATTGTATGCTACTACTACTAGTACATATGGTAAGTATCAAATAAAAGCACATAATGGTAAGTTTAAAAACATGTATGTAAAAATAAAAAATATTCAATATGAGAATGAGAATGAGGAAATAAAGGACAATGAATATCCAAATTATATTACCAAAGGATTAAAAATAACTCCCAGGCACAATATTCTGCCACCCTAAAATTTTGACTAAGGGCGGATTTACCCAATTCCTTAATTGCTATTCCTTAATTCTTATTTCTTATTCACTAAATTATAAAAAGATAAAATACGTGTTATGCAGTTAGTTTGGTTATACAATGTCTTAATCCACGGTTCGTAATTCTTTATTTTGAAAGTTCCCAACTTTTAACTTTTTAGCGATTACGAATTAGCGATTAAGGAAAACGTGTAGATGCGCATGCGTGAAATTTTAAAATGTTAACTTTTTGTGTATTTTGTGAACTGTTGTTAGTCCCATTCCAAGGAAGGCATGTCTTGTATTAGAGTTCCAAAATTGCCTTCCATGTCCTTTCTTCTATTCATGGGGCGAATCCCAAATCGCCTACAACCTCGGTGGCGATTCACGAGAGTAGCGACACAACAAGCCATGGTTATAAACAAACCCGAAAGTGCTGCAATTTTTTGTATGGACCTCATTGCACACAATAACACAGCGAAATAAAAACGATTTGATTTGATCTACTAGTGTCAGTTTTAAGAATTAAGAAATAAGGATTAAGACATTGGATAACTGTCTCTAAAAAAATAAGGGATAAAGAATTGTGTATTAAGAATTACAAATTAGAGACTAAGAAATAAGAATTAAGGAATAGCAATTAAGAAATTGGGTAAATCCGCCCTAAGTTTGATGTTTCATAACTTTTTAATTTGTAATCCGATTTTTATGATTATGATATTAGTTTGTAGATAAATTTATTGGCATTATTTTTTATTATTTTTAGTAGCTTATACAGGGTGTTTCAGAAAACATGTGCCATCTATAGTGGAGAGATTCCTCACGTAAAAATAAGATTTATTTTTCATATCAACATAGGTCCGATTCTACTTTCTTTCGTAGCTACAGGGTGTTAAAATCTTAATATTTTTTCGATTTGTTATCATTTTCTTCCAAGTACTTTTAGCGTTTTGAATGAAATTTTGGGAATAAAAGTTACTTTAAATTCGACATATTTTAAAGCTAAAAAGTGTCGACATATTCACCAGGGACGTGCATATGAGTTTTCACTGGAATATTTTCCTAAAAAAAGCATGTACGCCACTGACTTTTTTTATCTTGTTAACGAAATAATATAAGCAGTTTAATGCCGATTAAAAGTTGTCTCTTGATATTTTGTCGATATCGGCCTCCTTCATGAGATAAACGCAATTTTATTAATCACAATTAATAAAATCAATATAAAAATAAAATTAAATCCATCAAGCTATAGATTAAGAAAGGATAACTACCCATATTCCTTCGATACGACGAACACCTCGAGCAGTTATTGCTGCGAGAGGCGGACATACAGTCTATTAAAATTATTAAAAAAATATTATTTTAATTAATCATCTAAGATTACAGGAAAGTGTTTTCAATCCAAAAAAGAAATTTATAACTATCTGATTATTTTATTTTTCTCATTAACTGTTTAATATCTATCAACAAACTTTGTAAAAAAATAAACCATAAAAATCATGTTTATATATTGTACCATATCTCAGCAATTAGTTCTTCTATCTCTATTAGCTTGCTCTTCTACATTAAAATATAAATTATATATTTAATAACATATATTTCTCAAATATTTCAGAAAACCTAACCCAGTTGGAATTATCCGAAAAAGAACAAAAACACAAATATCTAGTTCAAGAAACTGTTGAAGTGGGCATGCTGTTTGCCTCGAAGGCATTCGTGCAGTTAGTGACTAACCCTTTCGTGGGACCATTAACGCACAAGTAAGTAATTTAAATAAGTTACAGAACGAAACAAATATAAGAGTGTTCCAAAATCAGAGTAAGGTTCCAACTCTATAATTACATCTATACTATTCGCGAAAACGAGGAAACCCGAAATAACCCTCTTCGCACCTCAAAAATGCCTCCATTTTTGCCGCCATTTTGACAGCTGTCAAAAATTCCGGCCATGCCTTGCAAAAAAATGTATTGTCATCGGGACTGAACCTATATGCCAAATTTCAATTTCCTACAATGAAAGGAAATGGTTCTAATTTAGCTTACAAGATTTGCCCCGAACAAACATACATAGATAGTTACATACGAAGCAAGTTAACACTGAAAAAAAAACATAAAAATCATATTTATATATTGTACCATATCTCTAAAGTTAGTTCCTCTATCTCCTATTGGTTGTATTCTACATAAAAATAAACAAGCTATTGGACTTTAACCTACTTCCGCCTATTTTGCTTACTTTCTTACATTTCGCTAGTAGTGTAGTGGCCGTTTATCACAATCTTTGACAGATGAATACCGAATTTCTTACATTGTTTTGTATACAGGGTGAGTCTTAAATAAGTGCAAATATTTTCAGGGCCGGTAGATCTCGATATAAGAAACATATTTTCTCTTTACCGTTTTTCAAATAAATTCTAAAATAACCGACATATTTTAGTACTTTGAAAATTTCCAAACAAAATGATTTTTTGCTAAACTTTTGAGAACCACTGGATCTTTTCTGGATTTTCTTTCTTGTAGATTTAATCTACTACCTCTGTTGCCATATTATTAACAAATTATATTTTTTAACTAAAAACTAAAAAAATTTCAAATTTTCAAATCTTTTTTTTCGCGAAAAAACCTCATAATCGTGTTTCTGGGGTCGAAATATACTATCCCTAAAAATATTTGCACTTATTTAAGACTCACCCTGTACAAGTCGTTTCTTTGTGTATAAGTTACATAATAATTAGTTGAACCGTAATTTTTTAAAAGCAATTTTTAAAAATCACTACCATTTATTTACACTGAACACGTAGAAATTAAACACACCTCAAGTTTGTTCAACCAGAAAATACAAACGTGTGATCGAAAAAAAGGAGCGTCAGCGATGGCTATGAAATGAAGATCGCTGTCATTTTATATGTAAATTTATTTAGGAAATTTCATCGATGTTCATTTCGTAGCCATCGCTGACGCCGTTTTTATTCGATCATACGGTACTTGACACTTGACTGTGACATTTGAGTCTTTAATTCACATATAAATTATATTTTCTGTCATTTTTTGGATGTCCAAGTTCACCCTAACTCATTGGATCGACTTTACATCATCTTTTAGCCATGTTAAGGCTGTTCATTTCATCATCGTCATTCTCAGCTTATTCAACCATTTCCAATTATGGTGTAGCCTCCTTCACATATTTAGATACTCTCTTTGTAGTTGGGCCTATTGTTGTCTATTGTTGGCTATGCAGGCCCAACTTTTTATATCCAAAAAATTAGGGATTTAAAAAATTGAAATGTTCAATATAATGACTGTAGTAACTCAGTAGTAAGTAGAGTTTACTACTGTGTTATTAATTAATTGTATTAATTTATTTGCTATTAATGTTTTTTTTCCTATTATTAGAATTGGCTACAGCGTGCCCATGTTTGCTGGCTTCGTCATTATGTTTCTTTCAACAATAAGTAAGTATTGCTATAAAGCTATGAAAATATTTGTATTTTATACATAAATTTATTCTTCTTGCTACATGTACAGGGTAGGTCAAATTCGACGCTTTTAAATGGAAACACCCTTTTCTATAGGAGATAGACGAAAACTAATATCGGTGTCTGGAGCTCAATTTTCATCAAAAACATAATATCAAGTATGTTATATTTTTGGAAAGGTAATTTTAAATTCTTTTCAATAAATTAAAAATATACAGGGTGTCCCATATAAAAAATCAATTTTTCTGTTGATAACTCTTAAATTATTAATTTTAAAAAAATTATACTAAAACAATTAAATTCTACGTAAAAAGGTGCTTTGGAAATGTTTTCATAGAAATACAAAATTTTCCATAGCAAAAAAGTTACAGCGATTTGTTAAAAATGCACATTTTTGAAAAACACCCCGTAACTCCGAAACGGTAACAGATATCGATGTGCGGTTTTCACCATCATGTTTTTGACAAAAATTGAACTCCAGACACCGATATTAGTTTTTGTCTATCTCCTATAGAAAACGGTGTTTCCATTTAAAAGTGTCGAATTTGACCCACCCTGTACAGGGTGGTCGAAATTGGTCTGTTTTAACAGAGAAAACCTATTTCCTGACTTGATAGAGCAAAACCGACATAGATGTCATGGGCTCGATTTCCGAGATGCGTTTTATGGCATAAACCGCCTGTTGATATTTTCACTGCCAACAGAGATAAGGGGTCTTTTTGAATTTTTTACCATTTTGAAAATTGCCCATATTTTTTTTATTTCGCTGAATAATAAAATTCTGTAAAAACGTTCTTAAGGCACTTTTTTAAGCACAATCCAGTGGCATACTCAGTTTTTTTCTATGCTTGCTCTTCTTGTCAGAAATAATAAAAAATATAATTTTTTAAATAGAAATCATAGTTTGCTATGAACTTAAAAAAATGCTGACATTTAACCCTTTCTAACGATATAAAGTTATGTGTATTTATTTCTAAGAATGAAAGAATTATTAGGTTTTTTTATCTTTGTATCCAAGCGGGCTTTGATTTTGTGTTGACCTATTTGTCTAATTTTGAAAAGGTAAATTAACATTCTATTAGTAGTAATGGTAATTATTAGTATTAGTAATTACAACTGAAATCGATACAATAAGCAAAGAACAAAACTAAAAAACGTATTTTTTTGCGTGACGAATATAGTTCTAAAAAAATCAAAGATTTTCAAACTGAGGACCTCCTTGTTGAATACACAATAAACATCTTTTGAGCACAGGGTTACAACAATTTTGATTAGGCGAACTGGTGTAATAAGTCCAAAAGCTTGCCTAGTAGCCTTCAGCAATTATTCCTTCTCTCGTCCCAATGGTTCTTCCCTTATATATAAGGTCTTTTAATTTCCCCCATAAAAAAGTTGAAAGGAGTTAAATCGCAGGACCTAGCAGGCCAAGATATGGGCACCTTGTTCCAACCCAATTCTCTCTAAATTCTCCATTTAATAGTCCAGTTGTAACTCTGGTGTTTTAATTGTAACTGGTAATACTAATATAGAATGGTGATTTACCTTTTTAAAAGTTTTTAATTATGCCGATAAATAATAGTATAGAAAATTAAATTGTGATAAAAAATAATTAGGCAATAGGTCAACACAAAACCAAGGCCCGCTTCGATACAAAGATAAAAAAACCTAATATTTCTCTCATTCTTAGAAATAAATACACATAACTTTATATCGTTCGAAAGGGTTAAACGCCAGCATTTTTTTAAGTTAATAGCCAGCTATGATTTCCATTTAAAAAATTATATTTTTTATTATTTCTGTCAAAAAGAGCAAGTATAGAAAAAAACTGAGTACGTCACTGGATTGTGCTTAAAAAAGTGCCTTAAGAACGTTTTTACAGAATTTTATTATTCCGCGAAATACAAAAGTTATGGGCAATTTTCCAAATGGTAAAAAATTCAAAAAGACCCCGTATCTCAGTTGGCAGTGAAAATATCAGCAGGCGGTTTACGCCAGTGTCTCAGAAATCGAGCCCATGACATCTGTGTCGGTTTTGCTCTATCTGGTCAGGAAATAGGTTTTCTCTGTTAAAACAGACCAATTTCGACCACCCTGTACATCTGAAAACGCCTTAAAATATGTAGAAACAAATTATTTTTTCGTGTAATTTAGATACATGGCATCTCTATCACTGGTTCTAAGCCTGGAAGCCACTAAATTGAAAACAATTATACCATAAGTAATTTTATACTTATAAATCTTCCATTATACTAAAGTAAAATAATTAAAATGTTGTAATAGGCATGTTAATAAAAAGAGTTTCACTCCTAAATTTCTGCTATACGTAATATTATGGTACGTATACAGGGTGTTTCAAAAAACATGTGCCATCTCTCCTGGGGAGATTCCTCACGTAAAAATAAGATTTATTTTTCATATTAACATAGGTCCAATTCTGCTTTGTTTTGTAGCTACAGGGTGTTAAAGTCTTAATAATCTTTCGATTTATTATATTTTTCTTCCAAGTACTTTTAGTGATTCGAATGAAATTTTGAGGATAAAATTTACTATAAGTGCTACATATTTTAATGCTAAAAAAGTGTCGATAAATTCATCAGTGACGTACATATGGATTATCACTGGAATATTTAAAAAAAAAACATGTGCGCCACTGACTTTTTTTGAATGAAAATTGTGTAGACCGTTCAATGCCAATTAAAGGTTATCTCTTGATAAATTGTCGAATTGATGAGATAAACGCAATTTTATGAATCACAATTAATGAAATTAAAATAAAAATAAAATTAATAAATTATATATTTTACCTAATTTTTTTTTCAATTCACGATTAACTCGGTAGGTTTGGTTTCTTGACCAGAACTGCTCTAGTTCAGGGTCTTTTAAATATTAGGCACATTTCGGACAATTCTCACTGTTCCCAATATGGCTCGTTGGTAAGCTTTGGGTTTAATTTCAATAACTCCGTGTTCCTTGTAAAATCTCTATGAATAAGTCCATTGGCAGAGATTACAAAAGGTTAAACCATGGCTTTATTGAGCTGGTATACTCTTTTTAATTCATATGCTGATCTTGATACTTCTGTATTTTTTCTGTTGCAGTTTTTTGAAAATTCTGGTCTAATGTTACGGCTATATCAATTATGAAGCATGCCTTCTTGTCCTTGTTTATCCATAGTATATCGGGTTTATTATGGAATACTGTTTTATCTGTTAAAATAAGTGTATCCCAATATATTTTATGGCTGCTATTTTCCATTACAGGTTCTGGGGTGTAATTAAAATACTTCGTCTGCACAGACTGTAAACCAAGAATTAGTGATAGTTCTAAATGGATTATTTTTGCTATGTTATTAGGCATTTCTGTATCACTTGTGGGTGCTAACATGGGACAACCTGAACTTATGTGTTGTATGGATTCTGAAAATTGGTTACACATTCTACATCTGTCCGTTATGTTTTCTTTCAGAACAAACTTCCTGTGTGATCTTGTAGCTATCACCTGATCCTGAATAGCGCAGATAAACCCTTCAGTTTCGCATTACCTAATTTATTATTAAATATTATTATGTCATCTGTATAATTTTCTCGACTTTGTCGGGGATCATCTTTCCAACGGGCTAAGCCAAGTTGGAAGATTCTTAATCTCTAGTTGGCTATTGTCATATATTAGGTGCGTGGTTTCCACTGAGAAATCTCCTTACTATGGTACATGTATTAAGTATGACTGCTTTTTGTATTTCAGTATGAGTGTATTCCGGTATATTGAGGGTTTTCAGTAGCGGTATAAATGTTTTTGGTGTTATTCCCGTTGTGGACATGATAAGTGGTATGATAACAACTTTTTCTTGTTTCCAGATTCTTTCAATCTCTTCAGCCAGTGGTGTGTACTTATCGATTTTTTCTCTATACTTTTGCTCTATGTTGTTATTATTGTGTATTGATACATCAATGAGATATACTGTTTTTTTTGTTTTGTTTAGAAATACTATGTCTGGTCGGTTGGCATTAATTGTCTTATCGGTGTGAATGGGGAGATCGTAATAAACTTTATAGAATGCATTTTCAGTTATTGATTGTGGATGGTATTGGTAGTACGGCGTCGTGATTTGTTTTTGTGTACATTAATCAGTTCCTTGTAAATTATTTTTGGAACGTTATTGTGTCTGTCTGTATATTCTGTTGCTGCCAGAAGTCTACATCCTGCTGTAATATGCTCGATGGTTTCCGGTGCAAGGTGGCATTTTCGGCACGCGTCTGATGTTACTGTTCCATCTTTTAATATATATTTTCGATAGTTCAGAGTATTTACGACATGATCCTGGATTGCTATCGCAAATCCTTCTGTTTCGGGGTACAGCTGTCCCTTTTTGCGCCACATGTGACTTAACTGTTTGTCTACATGTTGTTGTTCAATTACTGCAATATGTTTTCCATGTAAAGCTTTAGATTTCCATTTGTTAATTAGTTCTGTTTCGAGATTGCTTTGTTGGTTATGGTGTTGTGGAAGTATTTTTGGATGTAGTGGTGTAGTAGTAGTAATAGTCTTTCTTGTCAAAAAGATATGTAATTGCAGAAAACGGCAAAAAACACAAGATGACGTACGGGATACCGCAGGGGTCTATTCTAGGACCGACCTTGTGGAACATCTTCTACGACCAGATCCTGAGGGTTGATATTGGACCAGGTAATCTACTGATTGCTTATGCGGATGATCTGGCTATCCTGATCACCGCTCCGACCATCACTATCTTCGAAGAAAAGATACAAACAGCTGCCCTAACTATAGCCAATAAGTTGGATAGAATGGACATACATCTGGCACCAGAAAAATCAGAACTAGTCGTTCTGGTAGGACATCGCAAGACGACGAACTTAAATATCCAATTGGGAAATTGCCACATCAGACCTCAAAAGGCAATAAAATATATGGGCGTTTGGCTTGATTCCGGGATGCGCATGACTACACATGTCCTTAAA